CTTGAGAATGTGGCCATCCTTGTCATTCTCTGTCATTTGCTCGTCCACTTTCCGGCACAACGTGAGCACTTCCTGTATGTACGAGACATACGACTCAGTTGAGGACTGCGCACGAGTGGCAAGTACTTTTCGCGCTTCCTTTAGGCGACCGGACGGGTCCCCAAAGAGGTCGCGTAGTTGCTCCTTCTAGATATCCCAGCTGGTGAGCTCGGTCTCATGAGCGTCGAACCAAACACGTGGGGTGCCGTCCAACTAAAATATTACGTTGGCGAGCATCATTGTAGGGTCCCATCGGTGTGTCTGGCTAACACGCTCGTACATACGGAGCCAGTAGTCAACGTCGAGCCCAGGTTGTGCGGAGAATGTACCGGGATCACGGGGGTGGGGCATCGTCAGGTATGTGGTGGCTGGAGCTACAGATGAAGACGCTGATGGGTTGTTCTTATTGGTAGCCATGGCCGGAGACTGAACGGTGCAGCCACTGTGAAGCTTCGTGGTGAGTACGGGGAACGTTCCACCTCCACCCGCATCGATGACGCTCTCGATTTTCTCCACGGCACCCAATACTTTTTTTCAATAGGCCTACGTTCTGGCTACTGGCAGATTACTGTCGACGAAAAAGACCAAGAGAAAACTGCGTGTGTAACTCCAGACGGCCTATATCAGTTCAAGGTTATGCCGTTTGGCCTATGCAATGCCCCAGCCACGTTCGAGCGCATGATGGACTCTCTGCTACAAGGGTTCAAATTATCAACATGTCTTTGTTATCTTGACGATGTCGTTGTATATTCCCCAACATTTGAGACCCACCTTATGCGTTTGTCACATATTCTCGACATATTCACACGACGTTTGTCACACGTTTCTCGACATATTCCGCACTGCAGGGACTTCAATTAAACTCGTCGAAGTGCCACTTCGGACGCCGGAAAATTAAGGTGTTGGCCCACCTTGTCGACGCATCTGGTGGGCAGCCGGACCAGGAGAAAATTCGTGCAGTCACCAGTTTTTCTGTACCCCCGGTCAGTCAAAGACGTCCAGAGTTTTGTAGGACTTTGTTCCTACTTTAGAAGGTTTGTGAAAGGTTTCGTAACCATTGCTCGACCCCTCACTGAGCTTCTGAAGAAAGGCGTCACGTTTACGTGGGGTACCGACCAAGCTGCTGCTTTTTCTCATCTAATCACGCTTCTGACAACTTGTCGCCTACGCTAGCCGCGTCCTCACAGCTGCTGAGCGCAACTATTCCATTACAGAGCGTGAGTGTCTTGCTCTTGTTTGGGCAGTCTCAAAGTTCCGCCCATATTTATATGGCACAAATTTCTCTGTAGTAACTGCCCATCATGCGCTATGTTGGCTTACGTCACTGAAGGATCCTACTGGCCAGCTCGGGCGCTAGGCTCTGCGACTGCAAGAGTATACCTACACGGTGACGTACAAGTCCGGATGCCTACATCAGGACGCAGACTGCCTGTCCCGCTACCCGGTTGCTGAGTCGAGCACTATGCCTGACACCGACACCAAGCCTTGCGTCTTTTCCCTTTCGCAAATGACATCCATCGGTAACGAGCAGCGCCATGATGCGTCCTTGCGTGCTATCATTGAGCGCCTCAAATCACCATCTTCCAATCAGTCCCATCGCTCATTCGTGCTCCACGATGGTGTATTATACCGCCAAAGTTTTGAGCCGGATGAACCAGTGCTGCTACTTGTCATTCCGAAACACCTTCACTCGGAAGTTCTAAATGAACTTCATGACCTTCCGACGGCCGGTCACCTTGGTGTGTCACGCACTTACGACCAAATACGCCGACGCTTCTTCTGGCCAGGGCTTGCACGCTCAGTCAGAAGATACGTTGCGGCTTGTGAGAAATGTCAGCACCACAAAACGCCATCGACACTTCCCGCCGGACGCCTTCAACCACTTGACGTTCCGTCATTCATTCTTCCGCGTTGGCTTGGACCTACTTGGCCCTTTCCCCTTGTCTTCCTCGGGTAACAAGTGGATAGCCGTGGCCACCGACTACGCCACGCGTTATGCCATCACACGAGCTCTTCCAACAAGCTGTGCCACAGACGTAACCGACTTCCTCCTCAACGACGTGATTTTGCAACACGGAGCCCCACGGCAGCTGCTTACAGACCGTGGCCGCACCTTTTTGTCGAAGGTCATAGCCGACATCTTGCAGTCCTGTCAAACGAGACACAGGCTGACCACGTCATACAATCCGCAAACCAACGGACTCACAGGGCGTCTAAATCTAACTCTTACAGACATGCTCGCTCAGCATGTTTCTACCAACCACACCGACTGGGATCTTGCGTTGCCGTACGTCACATTTGCCAATAATTCTTCGCGCCTTGACACTGCCAGTCACTCTGAATTTTTTCTGCTGTTTGGCCGACAACCAACATTGCCTCTAGACACCGTCATACCGTCCCCTGCAGTACCGACTAGTGAATATGCCATGGACGCTATCACTCAGGCCGCTCACGCACGCGAAATCACTCGTACTCGCATTCCGACCTCTCAAGAGAAGCAACGGCGTTTGTATGACCAACGACACCACGACGTACACTTTCCGCCCGGTTCTTCGGTCCTGCTGTGGTCTCCGACCCGTCAAGTTGGTATGTCAGGGAAACTGCCGAATCGCTACACAGGCCTATACCGAGTCCTTCGTATGGTTACTCCTGTGACGTATGAAATAAGTCCTGTCGCCCCGTCGCCTTTATGTGCCCAACAGGCTACCGATATTGTACATGTTGCGCGCTTGAAGCCCTACCGCTCTTCTAGTGACATTGACATTTAGATGCGCCGAAACAGCGCTTCTGCCGCCGGGGCTTATACTACATGCAAGCATACTGCGATTCCAGGGGGCGAAGCGCGTGTGTGCCTGACGAGGAAGACGAAGGATGGTTTCCGCTCGATCACTGGTGAACTGGTCCCACCATTACCGCTGGTTTCAAGTACATCGAATCCACTGCCTCGTCGATACGGCGTCTCTTCTTTTCCGTAACAATATGAAAACGCAAAAAAGAAAAATTCAGAAAAAAGGCTCTTGCACGCGCAGTCGAATGTGGGACCTCCGTGTCATGAATACGAGATGTTAACCACTGAACCACCGAGAGGTACCTCCTTCAACATTCAAACGGCAAGCTATTCATGTCTACCACTTACCACTGTTGGCGGGCTTCTCGGGGGGGGGGGGGGGGGGGGGGTACTATCGTGTTTTCAGCCTCATCAGCAAGATGGCGCAGTGAGCGCCTGGTGGCTCTCATCTCTCACGCGTAGTTTGGCGCGCGTAGAGAATAAGGGGGTGCGCACTCAATCACGTACCCTTGAATTGCAGTGGGGAGAATCGTACGTCTTGGCTATCATTCGAGTTTCGTCGGAACAATTTTGTTGTAGTTACCGTCCGCACAAAGGTCACTGCAACCGTTGCACAGCCTCCGTTTGCGAAAAGGACGCGCTTTTCAGACACAGCAAAGTAACAACTTAGACACTCATTCGCGTTAATCTGTACCTGTGCGTACGTTTCGTGCGTCCTTTGTGCGTGAGAAACGTGGGGCACGTTTTGATCTGCTTGCCATTCTGCGCGTGACTTTCCAATTTGTTGCTATCGCGTTCATCGCTTTACCTTTGCGGCAAAGCTGTGGCTTTTTTGTTCCCGCATCTGAAAGCTCCTACGAAAGCACGTCGTTCTGGGACAATTGACAAAGTCGGAGTCTTGTATCATGGCTCTGCAGAACATTGCGGAGGAGACCTACCACGACACCTTCGATGCCTGTAGATCTATCTGAAAACGGTGCACGATACATTGTGAAACACTTAATGTTTTGTTTTGTTCTAATCAAACCATAATGTTAATGAACTGACTGACATAACTTTTTGACAATCCTCTATGTAGGCACATGTACGTGTGCGCCCTGTGTTACTGTGTGTATTTTTTATTTTGCGCTACAAGGGAAGCTATTGAAGTCAGCTCTTGGCCCTTGTCACTGCTGGGAAGGCGGGGGGGGGGGCATTAATCTCTATGCCTTTAAGCCGGGTTTCACATTGCTGCAACCGGAGTTAGCGCGCGGTGACGCCCAGCTGAATGTTTCATTGGTTAATACAGGTCAGTCGGACACCCTGGTCCAGGCAGGTGCGCGATATTTTTTTTTAATGTGTTCACTGTCACTGGAGCGCTGAAGCGTTACGAAGACGAAAAACAAGAAGTTGTTCGTTTACAGACCTGTATGAAAGGTCACCGAAACATGAGAGACCACGTGCCTCTAAAGGTTTTCCGGAACTTCTCCGGAGATGAAATCGCTCTTGTGCAGTTGCAGAGCGTGTGTTGTAACACGTTGAGACAGCAAAAGATAAACATTTCGCAAACACTACCTCTACGAAGCACTGCGTTATCCTTGCTTATCAAGCACTGCTACACAGTGTGAGTGTTCGCGCCCCTGTTTTTCGGAGGAGTTAGCGACCATCGCCCAGCAAAATGGCAAATATGTTCCCCGCACACACCACAAGTGTATGTTGGAACTGGCAACAATGCCTAGCACCATTGAGAAACAGTGGAAGCTTGGCGTTTGTTTTTCTTGTTTGTTGTTGTTTTCTTAGAGCTTTGACCAGCTCCCTGTACAATGTTGAGTCTCGAGCAGTTGATGCAACTCACCCAATTGTCTCTACTTTTTGCTTCTATTGATCGGTGTGTGTTTGCATAATAGAAGAACACGTACTCGTAGCGGAGTGTGTATCTGCACAGTACCTTTCCACTCTAGCAACTATAGACCTTGTATAAACATGGATAAGGTAACTCACGCAGGCTGCTTGTTTGGCCAGCCTGAACTAAATACTTTATTCTTATCTAAGCAAACTCTAAAGAGCATCCTGTTTCTATCGGTTGACTGCCATGTTTACATTGCATTCACTAAAGATGGCAACACTAAAAGGTTTCCAAGCCCTCTTCATCCGCTTTGGAAAGTCGTGTGTTAAATGTGTAACGCAGAACACCTTACCGTTGCTCACTTTTAATCGCATTTGAGTGTGTTTCAAATAGAAAAATGTGTATTTTTATTTGCTATATAATAGCAATTCGATTGTGCAAGCGCACTTCACTGACTAAAAGCTTAGTCAATGCGTATCGAGCATTTTCAGTGCCCCTTTACACCCGACCTCAGACTTTCTTCAGTATGTGAATGTAAAAGGCGGGAGTGTAGTCTTTGCTGAGAGGCTTGAAGTCTCCGTAAATCTCGTGATGGGCCTCTTTGCCGAAGACGTCCTCGAGGAGCTCGTTGAAGTCCTTCAGCCTGTGCGGGAAGTACGAGAGCCGGAAGTTGCTGGAACGAGTAAAAAAGGGTAACAAGTCATGCCGCCAAATCAGCCATAAGCTGCACGAATACGACGAGCATAACGTACGAGCGGGGAGAAAACATTCTCCGCTCAGGAACCCTCTGAGAACGGATAAAAGAATACATGTTACTCTTATGGGAAAGTTCCTACTGACGCCATTGACTCTCCTTTCGGAGGCAATTATACTCTCTCAGCAGAGTTTTGGGAGACACGACTTTCTGAAAGAGAGTATTTTTAAAGAGTTACATTTGTGTCAGACCGGGACTCACAAATACATGTGACAGACAATTCTTTATTTTTTTTGAAAGCGTCGTTCCAAAGGCTTCAGTATTCTTAATGATGAAAACTTCACGCTTTGCCGTGTGGGACGATGAAACCGCCTGAAGCAAGGCTTTTAAACATTTTATCGGTGTTATTTACGCTTCTCCACTCTGGAGGTGAAATGTGGCATTACAAGGACACTTGAAAAACTTAGAAGGCCATAGAGCCTGCATGAGTAGAACACGGTAGTGCAAGAGGACCTCCTATGCTGACTTCTTTAAACCTTGCCGCAAAAAAAGCGAAGAGACGTTTTTGCACGTAACACTCGCCGTTGCGAGCTATCCTCGAACGCAAATAGAATTTAGAAACGTTTTGCCAAGTGACGAAATACCCACAACGCGTCCGTAATGTGCCACGCGCACTTGTGCATCCGCATACTTTTTAATAATGGTCAGCTTCAAACAACGCGCTCGCTGCTCGATTCCCGTGTTTTCACGCCTGGTGCAATTCTACTATTCCACCACGCAATATTGTTACGGAAAAGAAGATACACCGTATCGACTAGGCTAGAGATGAGATGTCTTCAAAAGCAGCGGTAATGGCGTGACTGGTTCACCAGCGATCGAGCGGAGACAACCCTTCGTCTTCCTCATCAGGCACACACGCGCGTCTCCCCCTAGAATATCAATATATATGCATGTAGCAATATCATACATGCGTTCAGGAGACTCTTCCCCCTACACATATCGAGCTGTTGCCCACAACCAACGACGCCAACACCGACGCTCTAGTTCCTGCAAGACGAGATCCATAACGCGACCGCATTGAAAGAAACTGATATGTACTCTCTTTTGTTGCGTATTACGTTTAAGTTTAATAATTGTGCTTAGCGTCAGAGCTTTTAGTTATACTTGATGCGTTTCTACTAAAACCCACAATCTTTACGAATGGCCGAAATGTATACAGCAATGCTCAGTAAAAAAGCATTTTACACCATGCTTGAATTCATATAGCAATGCAACTGATTATTTATGGGGCGCTTACGCATTTGACCCTGATTATACGCTCAAGCGTGATTTTATTGCCATTAGTGCAGATCGCTTACTACAAATTTGTAAGTATGTATTAGGGGAATTCAAGCATCCGCACCAGTTGCTCGATGCCATTTTCTCTTGAAGAATTCTCACGTCCCTTTCCTCCGGATCGGACGGATGGACGTGTATCGCCATCATTTCGCTGCCACCCAGCCCCTCGAGGTTTTACCACGGTTTTCCATTTGCCTAATTTTGGCGAGACTCGGGCCTCCTTGCACTCGCCCTACAAGTGGCGGCGAGAGGCAGGGTTCGGGGAGACCACTTCGAGACCTCGGAGGGTGTGTATGCGTTTCGGCCTCTCCGCGACCCTTTGTTTTTAATCCCTGGTCGGTGGGTATACGTAACCTCGACTGGTATCGAAGTCCCGAGGCATAGCCTGAAGATCGTGAACCGTATGTTTCTCTTAACTGCTCCTCTGTCTGTTACGTATTCTGCTTTGGGGGCGCGTGATCGCGATCGTGTGTATGTGCGTGCGTGCGTGTGGGCATGCGTGTGTGTGTGTGTGTGTGCGTGTGTGTGTGTGTGTGTGTGGTGTGTGTGTGTGTGTGTGTGTGTGTGTGTGTGTCTGTGTGTGCGTGCGTGTGTGGGGGGGGGGGCTTTACAAGTGCGGCTTATTCACGGCCACTAATCAATACATTTGGTAACTGGTATTAGCCAATTGGCGTACCTTGTAATTACGTTACTTGTGATTGGTTGTATGAAATGACTGATGCATTTGTATTGAATTTTCTGGTAATAATGCAGCCATTTGGAGAACGTCGCCTACGGTCACCATCGCTGTGCGTGCGCGGGCTCGCCGTCCCTTCGTGGCGATAATGCGAGTACGAGTGAGCAGCGGCGCGAATAGTGCATGGCGGGACGAGGCAAACAAACGAGGACGCAGCCCACTGCATGGAGCTCGCAGTGCTCGAACCGGCGCTGGTGTACAAAAGCAACACAGCAGCAATTCCACCGTACATACTGGTGAAAGTCCAGAGAAGTCATAAAGAAGCGGGATCCATTCTTCTCTGGCTGCTAGGTTGTTTCCATAATAACGTACATGTTTCATTTTTAATCATACAAAAGTTTAAGAAAACAACAAAATGTAAATTGTTTGTATGCGTATAACAATCGTACTCGAACAATAACATTCCTACTTCATTGTGAGTAGGCTTCCGCCTAATCATCGACATAAATAATGGTAGATGATTCGGAATCATTTTTTGTTTTGCATCTTAAAGCACGGCATAGCAAAATACGTGTGATGCGTCAATCCGTAACATTTAAGAAAGCTTGTAGTTCAACAGTGACTCTTGCACTGTGTGTCTCTGTTATAGAAAAGTTCCAGAATTCAGGGTCACGGACAGTGCAACATACTTAACTCTGAAGAGTGTCATATAGGTTCTTTTGTCCTCCAAAGTATGTCCTCTACCAGCTGAACGGTGAGAGGAACATGAGGGGCGGAACCTCTTTCAACACCTGCATGATCTATAGTGCGTGCATCAATTGATCCGATTGCATTATTGCGGGCTACAAGCAGCGTGGCAACACATCTTCAACCCTCAACTCTATTTATCTAGCATGCTGAAGTATATACTTCAAACTACCAACAATAGTTTGACACGGCCAACTGAAAGGGGCGCATCGCGTATGGACTTCCCCACGATTTCGCGTCTTATTGCGTGTCTTCCGGGGTCCTATTTTTCACTAAATCTAGTTGATAAAGGCCCAGTATGATATCGCATAGCACAATAGATTGCACAGCTACCTTCATTCTAAAGCTGTTTATTACTTCTCTAAATTCTAATCATAACTTTTGCAGAGAATTTTCGCACTCCATTGTGCTTCTTGTGCAAGTGCACATCACCTGTCCCTAATCACTAATTTCTCACTGGACAAATTCTTGATAATTTTAATCAATTATTTATTTCCAACAATTGTCTAGGTGCTCCTATGGCGTAACTTGAGATACAGGCTAAAACATTAAAGAGTGTTACAATAACGCGAGATACAGTACTCTCAGCATAGAACTATCCACAAATATTACATGCTATGCAGGATGTCTTTGAAACTTCGGAATTGTTTCTATAAAAGACCATGCACATAGAACGTCGTGCCTTTGCAAATATTTTCTATAAGGCTTTCAAATTGTGCCCTTGATGCCGAGGCAACATGAAAGCATGATCTTGCGAATAGTATCTTATGTTTCAATGTTTCGATTAATGTTTATTATGTGGATGGCAAATCTTCAGGACGTCGTCTGTTACACTGCCACGCTAGTTTTTTTTTTGTATCTGTTAAGTCTCACTTAAGTACAGCGCATTCCTCTAGCTAATATTCTTCGCCTAGGTAAATTATTTATTACTTATCTGCAATCGCATAAATTGTAAAACTTGAAGGCATTGTCAAAAAAAGCTTCTGAGGGACGAAAAGAAATGAAATATTGCGTAACGTAAACAGAAGTGCATACTTAATCGGCTCTCCGGAGAACCGGCCTTTCTTGCTGTACTCGGTGTCCGTGCAGTCGAACTTGCTCTCCAAAGAAGACACGTCCATGACGTAGTCCAATATCACCATCGAGGGATTTCTGTCCACGTACAGCACCGAGGTCTGGATGTCCTTGATGTGGTTACTCTGCGTACGAAACGAACTTTTCATTGCGCAGTTCATGGTGTGAGATCGAAAACTCGTAAAAAAACATTTCCATCATTTAGAGAGGGGGGTGGGCCATGACACTTGGCCCTTGAAGCAGCATATATTTTGCTGCATTGAGGCTTCGAAATTGTGAATGTCTGTTTGTGTGCACTTTTACCGGTACTTGTCATTGCAGACATTGTGAGCAAAACTGCCACCAAAGAGACGAAGAGTAACCGTGGCGCTACAAATAGGCAGCAACTTCTCTTTACATGCAGAATACAACATTATTGTGAGAAAAAATGCTCTCCGAATGCTAAAGGTTTCTATGTGATGCCTTGTGACTATCGGGGACTGCCCTACTAATGAAATTGCGCTTACGCTTTGGTAATGGTTGTTGAAAATATGTGGGACTGCGCATTGCAGCAAGCCCGCTACACTCTAGGACACAAAAAAGAAGTCATCTGAGTCTGACTGATTTGTGTATTTGCTCGCTTTGTGTATGATTCCTTTTGAAAGAAACACGTAAACTCTCCTAGGAGAACATTATACTTTCTTCGGAGAGTAGTTGGACCTAACAGAGCAGTTAAGGGGCCTCTCTAAAAAAATTCGTATACGTGGCAAGTCAACATTCAACCAATAGCCCTCAGAAAACCACGTCCTTGAACGTTCAAACAGCACGCTAATAATATATCCCACTTACCACTGATGAAGCCCTTCTCGACGGGGGTGGGGGCACTATTGTGTTTTTAGCATTATTAGCAAAATGGCGCAATGAGCGCGTGGAGGCGCGCACGCTCTCATCTCACACACGTAGCCCCGCCGAGAAGAGACGGTGGACGTTCGCTCGCGCACCATTATCTCGCAGTCTCGCAGTGGTGAGAATTGTACGTCTTGGCTGGCCTGTGGCTTTCACCGGAACGATTCAGTTGTAGTTACCGGGCGCACAAAGGTCACTGCAATCGTTGCATAGTCTCCGTTTATTAAAAGAGTGCGCTTTTGAGACACAGCGAAGTAACAACTGAGGTGCTTATTTGCGTTCATCTGTACTTGTGAGTACGTATCGTGCGTCATTTGTGCTTGAGAAACGCGGGGCGTGTTTCGATATGCTTGCCATTCAGCGAGTGGCCTTCCCATTTGTTTCTCTCGCGTTCATTGCTCCGTCTTTGGGGCAAAGCTGTGACTTTTTTCCCCTAAGCGCGTGGCATTCAACAAGGCACGTCAGTAGGCAAAGCCAAAAGCCGTTTGGGGATACATGAGGAGCTTATTTTTGAAATGGGCCAAATTTAAAGCAGACACTAGCTCGAATAAAGCTGTACTTGCACATACATACTACGAACTTTGCTCTAAAATAGTAAAATAGACTCTGAGTTTTGAGTCTGCGCACGTGCTGTCCTTTACTTTCTCTCTGTCCTTGTTTGTAATACACAGTTGGACCTTTGAAGAATCAAAATGAACCAACTAGCCCAACTCGGTGCTCTTTTGCACCATGTTTCTATACAGCGAATGCACGAACACGGTGTGCTCACGTTGTAGTAAATGCTATGCACAGGGCGTTGTGCCGTGGTCGAGGATGTGATCGTAGTTCCGGTGGTCGATCACCAAGTATCCACCGGGCTTGAGCATCTCCCGGAAGTTGGTGATGGCGCGCCGATGCGTACTTCCGGGGGCAACCCTCGAGTCCGGCAAATGGCTGAACGAGTTTCCCAGGCAGATGACCGCGTCGAAACCACCGGACGACGGCTTGACGATGTCATCGGGAAGGGTTAGCCAGTTTGCTTCCTCGATCACTGCACGAGAAGACACGCAGACACAACGCTTTTACACATCTGGCTAGTTCACACCGATGGCGAGAGAGAGAGAGAGACAATGTTTCAGCGAAAAGATGGATGTGTCAGCCTGGCATGCCACTCATGCCGCTTCACATGCTACTTCTGGTGATGAGTGATGATTATGATACATGCACAGATAAACAAATAACAGCACTTGCAACCGCAGACAAACGCACACATGGGCTACTATTCTGAATGGCTGCCGCTTCGCCGATCTGGACGTCACGCGATGGTGGTGTTGGCGTAAAGATCAGGTTCAGGTGAAAATGGCGCGGCATCTGCGCACGCCGCTCGTTGACTATGTAGATTCAGCCAATGACCGTGGTCTTTGGGTATATGGCATCATTTGTCGAGAGAAGATGTGCGATTTCTTTGACTGTAAAAATTCTTTGTAAATTTCGGGCCATGTGCTGCGCTATAACGTTTGACACACATGTTTTCGGGAGCTTCAATTACCTATCGGCCATGTTTTTTGACCCTGCCGAAAAAGTAGTGCAGGGCTTTTTTCAGTTATTACTTAATATTTGCATTCGTGTGCTTCTAATAATCTCGCCTCTTTCTGTCGTGCAGTGTTCGTAATACGGTAGGCTACACTTAAAGTCACAGTTTCGTGAAGCAATAAATGTGATAGCAACAAACTGGAACGTAGTACAAGGTAAGGCTCGCTCTTATAGCATACAACGTGGCGTAACTCAATAAAACCCCGGCATAAGGAAACGTGACCACTTCAGCTGTCAGGGTTGCAACCTTAATACTGTCTATCACTTCAACGCGAAATACATAGCATGCACAAATGTATGACCTGCGTACTAATCCCTATCAACATAAGGCGTGCCTCCACGCCCGTCCTGCCGGACTGCCGCGGTTACTGCCGGACCCACAACACACCCATTAAATGAGCGCTGCAACACTGTTCCAAGTAATCGTCGCATCGCTTCATCAAAAGAGCTTTCGTCCTCACGAGTCAACTGCCGCAATTTTTTTTCTAAATATCAATAGGAGCAGACTTGAGTTGTGACCACGCTTTCGCCGTTAAAACATTGCACGCCTTCGTCGAAGCAACAGTGCGCATATCATCAAGAACTTTGTGGACTGAGGTCATGAACTTTTTGCTGCACAACTTCGGCGCGTTGTGCCTACAGGATGTTCTGGGGATAGTCACTGGAGAAAATTTACTTCGACGCGAAAAGCAGGGGCTTGTCGCGTTTTTCGACGCCGAACTTGGACTTCACCTTTTTTCGGATGTCACGTCATTTACTACAACGCCCGTTTGGATGTATTAGTTATTTCATTACTGTCGATTCAAGCACGATAGACCCTATTCCCTATATTTCGTATGGTTTCTAAATCTCCTATAGCATCACTTCCAATAACTGCCAGATTTGCTGCTATCGCATTCATTGCTTAGTCCTTGGTGCGAAAGCTGTGACGCCTTTCTTTTGCGTTTTCTTCTTGAGAATGAAGATCCTAAATCTCGAGGTAAAACATCGGGTGTGAGAAAAATTATGGACCATCTCTCCGAAGGGGAAGAACCCTCACGGGATGCGAGGCAGCAGCGGTGCGCACGGCGCTGACCCGGTTGAAACGGGTGTCGACGCAGGTGTTGGAAGAATGGCTTGAAGCGAAACACCGAGTACTTTAGATTGAAACACGAAGACACGGGAGGCGGGCTTGGTTTCCTGTAAGTTTCATAGCAGATAAACGAGCCGAAAGATTGTTTCCCATCGACGTGCGGTCAAGTGTTGCAGACCGCGGAGAGGGTGAAGTGAGAGAGAAGTGAGTTATGAGCGGGCGGATGTGGAGTAACCGGCAGCTGCGGGTGCTGCTGTGGGCATGCGGCGGGTGAGAGAGAGAGAGTGACGTCAGCGGGCATCTGCGAGAGAAGCGTGCATGGAGAGCGTGACATGAACTCGTAACTGCGGTGGGACCTACTCGGCACCGCTCCAACACCCTCGGCAAACGGGGACACATTGCGGCACGTTCGTATGGACGCTCGTACGTACGGCATTACACACATGAGTAAAAAAGATGCTTCGCATTCAAAAATCCTCCGCGCCGTTGCTCATCAGCCGCGCCCACCGACGGAGACAGCCCCCGCTAGGAAGCTTACATGACAGGTCATGTAGCCCCCGCACCGCCACCGCGCCAAGTTTCCCGGCGTGGCGCGAGCCGATTAAGCTGTATTCACACGACGGGCGTGATCGCGGACAGATAAGTCGCGTGACATGTGACATCATTCGGATCCCTCCACACCCAGCATTCACACGACAGGTGAGAATCCGCCCTTTTCATTTTCCTGTGCAGCGCTCTGGCGTTTTAATAGGATTTCGGCAGAGGCCTGGAGAACTAGCATTGCTAAAACGAAGGCCTCACAAAGACAAGAAGGCGTTTCGTGACTTTTCCACCAAAGAAGAGCGCATGCCCCGTGGCATCGTGGAAAAAGTGGATACACACTACAAGCGAGAACTACAGCATTACTCGCCGAAGATCCCAACTTTGATTGGGCTTCCATCGTTTCACGAATCGCTCCGAGTGGACTGAAGCGATGACGCGGAGGAAATGGGTGACACATGGTGCCATAGTAAGCGATCCCCGGAGTCAATCGCAATTTCATCGGTCGTGTAACTACAGCTTTACAAGCGACGAAAGGCCCGCGCTTCTACCACAGGTGCCCCAGCCAAACGTTTCCCCAGCCAACTTTGCACGTTAGTTCTGGGGCTGCTCTTTGGCCGTTTTCCCATGACCAGTGGCAAGCTGTAGTTGGGCTCCACTCCAGTCTACGTCAGGGAAAGAGCCTGTCATCAGCCCAAGAAGGCTACGTTAGGACTCAAGAAATGAACTACCTTCACTGTTTCCTTAAGTTTTACACGGCCAGTATAAATCCCCCCCCCTTTTTTTTAATCTAGCAGCCGCGATTACACAATGCAATACAGTTCAGTTTTTGTGGGTCAGCTACGAGGTTCATTGATGTACGCTTACCCCAGTCGTCAAAGGCCTTCTCCTTCCTGCGGTTCCAGCGGATTTTGAGCGCGTACTTGAGCATGCGGTCGCTGGCGTCCACACTTGTAACTTTGAAGCCCTCTTCCAGAAGCAGCACGGAGTCTATGCTGCAGTTGAGATAAAAGTGGTGCGATCATGAACGAGCACTATAACTGCGACTTGAAAATAGATAGATAGATAGATAGATAGATAGATAGATAGATAGATAGATAGATAGATAGATAGATAGATAGATAGATAGATAGATAGATAGATAGATAGATAGATAGATAGATAGATAGATAGATAGATAGATAGATAGATAGATAGATAGATAGATAGATAGATAGATAGATAGATAGATAGATAGATAGATAGATAGATAGATAGATAGATAGATAGATAGATAGATAGATAGATAGATAGATAGATAGATAGATAGATAGATAGATAGATAGATAGATAGATAGATAGATAGATAGATAGATAGATAGATAGATAGATAGATAGATAGATAGATAGATAGATAGATAGATAGATAGATAGATAGATAGATAGATAGATAGATAGATAGATAGATAGATAGATAGATAGATAGATAGATAGATAGATAGATAGATAGATAGATAGATAGATAGATAGATAGATAGATAGATAGATAGATAGATAGATAGATCACCTGAGGAAACTTCTCATCATGCTACGATCAAGTGAAACATCACTCGCCGATTGTAAATACAGCGAGTTCAAATTTTCAACACAAATGCCGACGTTTCAAGCAACCTCATAAGCGTTACCGCGCTCACAGACGGAGGAGAAGGAAGAATAAAAAATTGGCAGCATATCCACGGAGTGAATGATGGAGAGTGGGGCGAAGCATTCGTCCGTCCATTCTTTCTTGCTTCCTTCCGTATGTGCGACCATCCATGCGTCCATCCGCCCGTCCGTGCGTGCGTCCGTTCCTGCGTTCGTCCATGCATCCGCCCCTGCGTCCGTTCATGCGTCCATTCATGCATCTGTCTATGTGTCCGTTCGTTCGTCTATTCAACACTCCAAGTACCACCATCTCGCATCTTTTCATCATATATTCCCCATATAGAAGCACCGCCATCCAGCGGACATTCCAAGGACTAAACGAGAGGTGGCACACGCTCACTTTCTTACGGCTTGCGCTTCGGGTCCACTTCCCACCTTTAACCACCTCGAGTTCATGGTATATACTCGTTCATTGTATTCATGGCCCTGCGGCTCAACACCCGCTAAACCTTTCTAAAACTAAGGTGGTTACACCCAGCGGGTATAACGTAGCAACCCTTTCCCTTCAGATAGTGCTCAATGTACATGCAATGGCTGCTAATGGGGATCGCAGCGTGCACGTTAACTAAAAGCCAAATGCTCCTGTCTCTCATACCCCATTATCAGCTATTGGCATGTACATTGAGCACTATTTTTTGTTGTTCAACAACGCACAGAAGGAATCTCTCACTGGCACCAGCTTAGAGGTCAAATTGTTTGCAGATCAAAGCGTAAGACTGGTTGCATACTACGACAGGACGCGGGACGAACGGCTGCCGCTATAAGGAGCTTCGCCCCTAGAAAGGACAGAACGCCGACTGCGCTTCTGTCTGAGGAAAGCGGATGCGAATGTGAATGAATAAAATATTTATTGAACAAATGACATACTGCAATTAGCAAGAGATGACTGGGCAGGTCAACCGAGTACAACCGAGTACGATCGCTATGAAAAAGACGAGCAAAAAAAATGACAGCATATCTACGGAGTGAATGATGGAGAGTGGGGCGAAGAATCCGTCCGTCCATTCGTCCTTGCTTCCGACCGTCCATGCGTCCGTCTGTATGACCATGCGTGCGTCTGTTCGTGCGTCCACACGTCCATCCGCACGTCTGTCCCTGCGTTCGTCCATGCATCCGCCCCTGCGTCTGTCCATGCGTCTGTCCGTCCGTGCAGCCATCCGTGCGTCCGTCCATGCATATGTCTGTGTGTCCGTTCGTCCATCTAGTCAACACTCCAAGTACCACCATCTCGCATCTTTTCGTCACATATTCCGCATATAGAAGCACCGCCATCCAGCGGACATTCCAAGGACTAAACGAGAGGTGGCACACGCACACTTTTTTACGGCTTGCGCTTCGTGTGTACTTCCCACCTTTAGCCACTTCGAGTTCATGGTATATACTAGTTTACTGTATTCTTGGCACTGCGGCCCAACGCTCGCTAAACCTTTCTAAAACCAAGTAGGTTACGCCCAGCGAGTATAACGTTGCAACTCTTTCTTGTCAGATAGTGCTCAATGTACATGCCGATGGCTGCTGATGGGGAATGAGAGACCGCAGAATTCGGCAAATTCGAGGTATAGTGCATCCAGGACGGGACAGAGAAGAAGACACAGAACACATGCACAGCGCTAGGTTATTCATGTTGTTCCAACAACATGAATAACCTAGCGCTCGCCGTGCAACCTTAGTTAACGCGCACGCTGCAAATTTTTTATTGTTTAACAACGCACAGGAGAAATCTCCCACCGGCACAACCTTGCAGGTCAAAACATAAGACATGTTATGCACTATACTATGAGGGACGAACGGGTGCCGCTTTAAGGAGGGTTGGTGCCCTCCGTAGCTACTGTGTAAGTGCAAACGTACAACGCGCGGCGCAGGGCCCATGATTGTCTTTGAAGTATTCGTAAGATAAAGGTTGCATATATCACCTTGCAAATGATAACAAGGTAAACGCGCTCCTTTTGACCGATAATATTAATATATTTGCCTCTTACATGGTCAAATGCCGGTGACTGAGGGGAGGTCTGCTATAGAGTATTCGTGTAGCCGGACGTGTTAGGGGTTGTTAACGTGTACGTTGTAGGTTCTGCCTACGATTATGCCTAGGCATTGTTAGGCTCACGGGATGGCTTTATGCACTGCTATAGTAAACTACAAATTACTCTTAATCGATAACTAATTGTTCTAAACACACACTTGTTCATACGTGTCAGGACGGCTTTATTCGATCAGTTCAGTGGCATTAGGTGGAGCAGCGGAAAGTTGAAATGACGGACGAGACGGTTATGTCGTCAGCGTTTACGTCAGTGTCACAGAGCGTGAAGACGCGTTCATTGATTTATGACTTTTGAAAGACCGAACTTCGTCGCAGTTTTCTCACCATGTGACAGCTTCGGAGCACGGCTACATGGCGCCGCCTGCGTCGCTGGAACGACCAAATGCTCTCCCACAGTAGAGTACCGTGTACTTTAAATCGTTAAACACTTTTTTTTTTCTAAACATAGCGTGGACAGGTTAATGCTCTACCATTGTCGAGCACAAATGGTGCCGTAAATCGTCCGCTCTTTGTGCTGAACAAAGAGTCAGGTGCATTCTGCCACCCCGATATCATGGGTCTAGTAGTCGCAAATCATCCACTAGTAAAGCGCGAGATAACATTTCCTCCTAATTTATAATTAATGGCTCAGGAAACGTGACCAGTCGACATCAACACTACATGGCATAAAAAGTCGTGTGACGTCAGTACGGAATTCCGAGACGAGCCGCATGGGGTCTGACGTCACCTCGGCGTCGAGTATTGTTGAAGCTGGTAGCGTCATCAAGACGTGTGACGACGTAAACACGTGATGTCACCTGCTTAGAAACTGACCGATTCCTTCCTTTTTTTTTTCTCTCGTTCGTAACCGCAAAAAAATCGCTCATAGCGAATGTAATCAAGATCCTTATCTGTCAACATGACTGATGGACTGCTCACGAACGCGTCACCAAGCGCTAATATTCTGACAGCCTCCATTATCAATCGCGTAATTTCGCACCTACTTCCATTCATAATAACCGTTTCATTGAATTTGGGTGTGCAATTACATCTCTGACAATGAAGGGGAAAAAACCGTCAGGAACAACACTATTTACTATGTTATTGTACTTGCACAAGCTATCATTTACGCAACTACCGGTCTATCTGATACAGCACTTTCCACAAATAAGTGGAATGATCACTGATGGACGGCATGTTGAGCAGTGCATCAGTGATGTGGACAAATAAGGAACTTGATTACATGTATTCGCGATAAGCATTATTTTCGATTACGCACGGTATAAAAAAAGGAAGAAAGAAAAAGCAAAAAAGTGGGGAAAATATAGGGTTGTAGTGTGTTGATGCATGCGCGTCGGTTATATTTCATGGTTGTGAGAGCTATGCACATGTGACGTGTGGCGTGGTGGAGTACATACACTAGCGGGATCTGCGTGTAATAACTGTTGTTGAAAGTTAGCGCTATGATGTCTACAGGTGCTGTTACCCCCTTTTTCTAACGTACGTTTCAAAGCACTGGAGCTTCATTTTAACAAGTCACTCGAGTAGCTATAGCTATACAATTGTCCATAATGAAACCTCCATTAGGCAGCCGCAGGTTATTGCCAGTGTGTTCAACGAGCACTTTACGTCTGTGTTTACTCTAGTTAATTACGAAATCCCTTCGTCTAATGTATATTGTCACCAATATCAGAGATAATATCATGCCAAAAAATTATCATGGTTGACTTCTTTTCTTTTATGACGTCCTGGTGTTCATGAAAGGTGTTGCACATTTTATTTTACTCAAAATATAGATTCCTCAGAAGTATAGATCCCCTTCAGAAATGACTCATGTGAAATATGACGTGGGCCTTCTTCAAAACGTTTTAGCTGGCACGATAAATATCAGAGGGCAAATGCGGCATGGGACCTATAAAAGAACACATACAGCGCAAGTATTTGTCTGTGTCCCGTGCCATATTTGCACTTTTAAGTTTAGCACTACGAAAAACTAGCCCTGCAATAAATTCCCTTGAAACCACCACCACATACCCCATTCCTTAAAGTTCGTCAACCATTCGCTCGTACTTATCTACTTCGCTTTTTCTATCTTCATTTGGCTATCCAGGAGTGTAATCGATTGCCGAGATCCAAAAAAGCTGACAAATATTCAGAAATGCTTAAACAGTTCTTATTGCCACACACAATTCATTGAGAAGATGAACCACACTCTTACAAATTCTGAAACATTTTAACTTTGCCAAAGGGTATTCCAGTCCATAACAGAAATCATCTAACGTATTAGTACATATATGTCCGAATCACTGTAATGCTTTTTTGTAATATACTTCTATTTTTCCGCCTGCCTTGTCCACATTTGTATGTAAATTGTGTATGATCTTTGCTCTGCAAGTGCTCTTTGTAAACGTTTTTTTTCTGTTATTGATTTTTTCCGTATTTATGGATAAATTGTACGTATGTTGTTCAACAGTTAATTTTTTTTCGTGAGTATTTTTTGTTCTTTGCATACTTTTGGCGAACTGCACATACATGTCTATGTGCACTACTGATTGAACACAACTATTTTTCTTGTTTTTATATAAAGTTGTATGTAAAAACCTATCTCTCCCCCCCCCCCCTTTGTAATGCCTTCGGGCCTTTAGTGTAAATAAAATGGGGGAAAAAATCTAACTTTCTGCACTGTCTGGGCATTTGTGAGAAACTAAATTCAGTGACTGTGGCACGCTATGAGAAGTGGGTTTGAAACCCCCTAGTTTATGCCAAATGTACATATTTGAAGATATTAGAAAATTAAGATAATCGTTAAAGGAGCTGTAAACGAGTGCATACGAACCCAGTACCACACGCAACATCAAGGACGTGATGGCAGCCCAGATCACGAAGTTTGTTGGAGAGGAACTCCTTGTAGTGTTCCGTTCTCTTCTCGCGCTCTCCGATGTAGAGTTCCCACACCTTGGCCGCCCTGCCGTCCGCGTACTGGTCGGGAATCCCTTCGCTGCCGACTCCGAGAGAGCGTATTTGGTAGACGTGGTCCCCCATGTCGACGAATCGATGCCTGAAAACAGCCAAGTACTGGCCCCTTCCGCGGTCGTCTGCTTTCTGAGCGTCGTCTGCTGCGACACACCGGGCAAGGTCCGAAATTTATGACGCTTCGACGCCGCCACAGGCCGTTCTCTGGTTGCGCGAGTACAAGAAGGATCGACCACCAATGGAGATCGGGTTACGAGAAAGGCGATCACGTGATTGTTGCGTCACGCGCACGTTTTTTTTTTTTTTTTTTTTTGCACTGCGGCAGCCCTCTTGTCATCCGGTATAGGCTGGATCACCGGACGGGCAGCACTGTTGCGTCCGAGTCCGTCACACCCCCGTTGTTTGCAACTCGCCGCCGTCTCTTGACTTTTCTACTATCGCGTTGCGAAATTTCCCGCTGCGTACACAGCGTAGCGTTCCCTTATCGCCCAGCGGCTCCCTGATTCCAGTGCCTGCTGTTAGACTTCTTCGCCAGCCATATCCCTATGTTCTTATGCAGAACGGCTGTACGCGTATTGTAGGCGATAATTCACTAGCACACGTAACTTGCACTCGCTGCTGCTTCCCCCTTGTCATCTACTTTTCGCTACACTATGCGCCGATTGTGAGCTTATCGTAGGTTCCCCTTGTCTCAGTACAGCACCAAGTGCATATAGATAACAGCTTTCGGACATCTTGAATGCACGCAGATAAATGAACTATCTACCAAATGTCCGAGGCACGTTATTTTCTTGCGATGAATAAAAAAAGAGCAATGCGTCAATATGTACGCACGCGTACATTCGGCAGGACAATAGGATGTCGAAGCGATATGTCCGCTTGGTACTCCAGATTACACCGGTTTCAACAGACCACGTCGACGCGTGCGCTTGCCCCTATCGTCATGTGGCCAGTACCAGTGTCCGTTCGAGATAGCCTCTGCGGTGAAGGATTTCTTTTGTTTTGTCAACAGGAAAGGTGTTATCGCCGTCTAGGCAGCCACGCGCACTCAAAGAAGCCTCGAAGACAAGCGAATAGTGCGATGCCCGTCCGTTACGTTATCGGAGATCGACGGACGCTCGCTGCGCAGAAAGACCACGCAAAACAACAATCCTTTACGCGTCCCTTGCGTTTCACCTCTGTCGCTGTCCCGAAAGTCACGTAACCTGCACCAGCGCGTAGAGAGGCACTGCATGCACAAGACGTCGTAATGTAGGTCATAAAAATGGGTTTTCACGAGGGATTCGTATATATTACTTACCGTCAAAGGCATGGCCAGGGGGTGGCACACCGCGCCAGTGCCCCCTCCTCTCCGACTATTTTTTTCACCATGACAGAGAGCAATAACTTACCACTTTAAGGGGATGCCCTCACCAAAACTAATGTGGTGCCGCTCCACCAGAAACTTTTCTGGCTACGCGCCTGGCTGCTTGTCGTTACAGAATTATCTAAGAACAGCTCCACGAAAACTACGTGCACCACTTTTGTTTGTTTTCTTTTTTTTTCGTTCGTGTTTAGGTGCTCGTCCACCGGCGTCAAGTAAAAACGTGTGTGTTAGGGGAGGGGGCATCATTATTATTGACATCAGCCTGACTATACGCCAACTGCAGGACAAAGGCCTATCCCCGTTCCGCCAGTCAACTCGGTCTTGTGCTTGCTGCTTCCACTTTATACCTGTAAGCTTCTTAATCTGATCTGCCCACCTAACTTTCTGTCTTCTCTTCACCCGCTTGTCTTCTCTTGTAATTCAGTTTGTAATGCTTAATGACCAGCGGTTATCTTACCTTCGCGCTACGTGCCCTGCCCATGACCATTTCTTCTTCTTGATTTTGACTATGATGTCCGTAACACCCGTTCGTTCCCTGATACACTCTGCTCTGTTCTTGAATTGAGAATTATTGCCGAATGTGCTCCACCCCATTCTTATTCTTGTAGTTACTTCAGTCTCGTGGGTCGGCTCCGCGGTTACTGCCTGCCCTAAGTTGACGTACTCTTTTACAACCTCATGTGTCTTGCTAGCCATCTCGAAGCACTGTTCTGTTCCAAAGTTGTATAAATTACTTTCGTTTTCTGCAGATTAGTTTTAAGACCTACATTTCTGCTCTCATTGTCTAACTCAGTAATCATGAATTACGATTCGTCCCCAGAGTTGCTCAGCAATGCAATGTTATCGGCGAAGCGCAGGTTACTAAGGTACTCTCTATCAGCTCTTATCCCTATCTCTTCCCATTCTAGGCCCCTGAAAACCTCCTGTAAGCACGCGGTAAATAGCACTGGGGATATCGCATCCCCTTGTTTTACACCGTTCTTTATTGGTATTCTGTCGCTTTCTTTATGGAGCACTATGGTGACAGTTGATCTGCTGTATATTTATTCTAGGATGTTTTCATATGCTTGGTAGATGCCCTGACTCCGCGGGGTCTGCATGACTACTGATATCTCTACTTAATCAAATGCCATCTCGTAATCTGGTTTGGTATATCTGAGTATTTCGTTACCACCTGATTGATAGTATGAGTGTGGTCGATTGTTGAATAGGCTATATAAAATCCTGCGTATTCACTTGGTTGATTCAATTCTAATGTTTTTTTTTAATCTGTTAGCAATAGCCTTTGTAAATAGCTTGTATACGATGGACAGCAAGGTGATTGGCCTGTACTTGTTCAAGTTCTTGTCATCCCCTTTCTTATGAATTAAGATGATGTTAGCATTCTTCCAAGATTCTGCTACCCTTCCCGTCATAAGACAATTCGTACTCAGGGCGGCCAGTTTTTCTAACACAGTCTTCCGTCTTTCAGCAGATCTGATGTTACCTGATCCGCTCCAGCACCTTTGCCTCTTTGCATTCCCTCCAAGGTTTTACTGATCTCTTCTGTCATTACTGATGGGATCTCACAAGCGCCACTGCTAGTTCTTACATTATGCTCCTGGTTGTCCAGGCTACTGTACATATCTCTGTAAAACTTATCCGCTATTTAGCTATTCTATCTATATTAGTAGTTACTTTGCCTTCCCTGTCACTTAGTGCATGCATCTGCTTTTGGCCCATCCCAAGTTCCCTCTTCATCGCTTCGAGGCTTCCTCCATTCTTTAAAGCATGTTCAATTTTCTCCATGTTCTACCTTTTTAAATCAGATACCATTCGCTTATTAATCAACTTGGAAAGCTCTGCGAGAGCTGCTTGGTCTATTGTGTTTGAGACTTTCATGTTTGACGTTTCTTGATGAGGTTCTTCGTCTCTTGGGACAGCTAGTTTTCTATTGTCTTGCCTAAATACCGTACTTCCAACTTCCACTGCACACTCCGTAACGATACCCGTCAGATTATAATTCATTGCGTCAACGCTAAGGCCGGTTTCCTCGACAAGAACCAAGTACCTGTTTTGAAGCGAGACTCTGAATTCCTGTACTTTCTCTCTCAGTGCTAGCTCATTTATTGTATTCTTGCGTATCAGTTTCTCTCGTTCCTCCTTCAAGTCTAAGTGAATTCGAGACCTTACAATTTTATAGTCACTGCAACGTACCTCGTCAAGCACTTGCACATCCTGCACGATGCCTGGGTGTGGACTCAGAATAAAGTCTTTTTGTTCTTATCGCCATTAGGGCTCATCCATGTCCCCTTATGGTTCCCTCGTTTTCGCTAGAAGGTGTTCAAGGTCCGTAAATTATTGCGTTGTGTAATTTCTACTAATAATGCCTCCCGCCCCAACCCCCAACCCCTGCATTTCTAGCGCCAATGCCGGGAGGGGGAGTAGTGAATATGAAAAATGAAAAGTGGGCCCCGCAAGGCCGCAACTGTCTGTATCAGAGTCCGACAAATGCGTAGTAGCTCACAATGGGAGGGATAAGGAGAATTTAAAGGAGATAGAGAAAAAGAAGCAAAGTTTGAGAGGAAAGTAAAACATTGGGATACACTTAGAGAAGTCCGTGAACGGGGCCCCGATCGTCGAGTGGTCGTCGAAGAGAGGACATCACGGGCGAGACAACCATCAGCCCCGAAACCCTATACGAGAGTCTCCTGTGAACGTGCGTATGCGAACGTACGTCTAATGTACCAGTATCAAGTGTGAACGTATGTCTATCCTGTCTTTATAAGAATGGTGCCGTAAGCCTACGTGCATCACTTTCTATGGGGGATAGCGGTAGAGAGCCCCGACATCGCTGTTTCGTAACACAGCTGGACTTAAGAACTCGTACCCTTAGTCTAGTATTGAACGGCTCGCTGGTGAACGTGACTTCCAGCAGTGTCTGAACCACAGGACACTGCGTACGAGTCCCGTGAGAGATGATGTGCCTGTGTGACTGGTGTTTTGTGTGAGTTGATTGCTAGCTATGGTGAAGGGGACCGCCGGTGAAATGCGAGCCACGATAGCAACCAGCGCAGCATGCATCGAGACGATACAGGAAGCGATAACCGGCGCCAATGTAAGGGTATAGAAATGGCCCTCTTCCGTAATTCGACAGTCTGCTCCGGAGAAGAAACCCATGTCGAGGAACGCAACTCCCGGGATGCAAGGCAGCGAACAACACGTTCGGCAACACAAGACCACCAGACGTCCTGCCGCCGGCGCCAACACGCCTCTCAAGTTTCCAGGGGAAATGTGTCCGTGCTGAAGGACTGTCGCTATGCGCGGTTACATATGCCATTCGCCTGAATATAAAGGACTGTGCGCTGTAGTTATTAGTTCATCTATTGCTATTCGGTCATCCAGCCGATATCTATGTTCCTTATTATTTCTACATATCTGCATTTTCGTGCATACTGCGCCGATTCGCAATAATTGTGGAATATATGTGTCATACCTACGCTATTGTAACGCGACCCCGATTCTAAAGCGAAAGGTTACTTCTCATTGCGTTCGGGAGAAAAAATACTTTTTTGATATTCGAATGGAACGCGAGGGTCGTTTATACAGGCAGAAGAATCTGGTGGGAAAACTCGCGTTATGTATTTCGACTAAATACAATACCTAGACTCTCCTTTGCTTTGAATAGTACTTTTTCATCGTGTTATATGTCGTTTTGCTTAACCATATATTAAACCTTTTGCTCTTTGTTCAAAAAAGGCCCTTGACTTTTTTATGCCGCTGAATGGCGCAAGCCATACACCTGAGTCTTGTACACGTCTTGTGCCTTTGACAATATTCGTGACAACTTGGACATAAATGAGAAAATAATCTCTTTAACGGTGAATCTGTATGCTTGTCGCTGGGGCTAGGGTTCCGTCTATTT